AGGTATTTTCCTCCTCCTCTATGACTCATCCACCCCACTGAGCTGTAGTCATCCAACTGGAGAGGTTTGGGTCATGCTGAATGAGCGGCAGCTCATAAGAGCTCAGCACCTGGGACTTGACTTTCCAGCAGGAGCTGCCTTGAAAGGAAAGAGCGGGAGAATATTTTGCTTGGACTGGATCATAGAAACATCAGGGTGGCAGGGCCTTCAGGAGGTCATCTGCTCCGGACAGGATCGTGCCTGTCTAAGCCATTGTAGATGGAAAATGACAAAATGAAAAAGTCAAAAACCACCTCCAAACTTTCCTACTCACTTCTAAAAAATGATACAAGAAGTCAAGTTTCATGCCAATAAAACCAGATGAAGGCAAACATTTATTTAGGGGACATAACGTCTCCTTGATCTTGCAATTCGACTGTCGCAGGGAGGCAGTGCTGTACCTGGACTCCTGGTGGAAGCTCTAGTATTGTCAGAGATAAAGATGATACTAATCGGACAACGGCACAAATATTACCATTTTAATAGATGGTGAATAGAAGATGTAATGTGAAAACTGGACAGTCATCTCGGTGGGGTCACCTGACCCCAGTTGTCTTTCCCTGCCTTGTGCAGGGGGGGCTGGACCCCATGATCTTGCATGGTCCTTTCCAGCCCCTTACAATCTATGAAATAGAAAATCAAAAGTTCAAATCGCACGTTTTTATAATAAAATGTTTATATTAACTCTGTTCTGCAGCACTTTTTTGTTGCAAAAGTCTTGATCGCATGTGTGGTATTGATGTCTTAAATAGTTCATCCTCAATCGATAACACTGCCAGTCCCGTATACATGCAATATTAAAACTATTTTTTGCAATTGTAATTTTTTTTTTTTTTCATTTTCGGGCCCCTCATTCTGTCTGGGCTCCGGGCGGCCGCCCGGTTCACCCGTGTCCATGTCCAGGTCTACAGAAAGGAGAGCGTGGAGTCACCCTGCCTGCTCCCTGTGGTGTAATGGTGGCTTTTGTGGGCATAAAGCATGAGTAGCTGCTGCCCTGTGGGAAGGTAGGACCCAGACTTGCAGAGGGCAAATACACTGAAGACATGTGTTTTTGTTCTGGGCGCATTGGACTGCGGAGCAGAGGTGCCATTGCCGCGTGCAGAAGGCAAAGGGACATGTGGCTTGTTAAATAGGAAATGAGCCGGGTGACAAAGCTCTAGTTCTCTTGCTACAGAGGCTGAGCTAGGGACCATGTACCATTGGGGATAGGACTGTGAGCGTTAGCAGAGGTCCTTCTGCACGAGAAGGAAGTCACATTTGGTCATTCTTCACCATTTGCAAAAAGACGGGTGCATTCGCCTTAGTGCACGAGGGATGATTTCATCGACTTGTCAGTGGTAAATGGCCCGTCTTCTCCATAGAGCTGCTCGTCTCCCATCCTCTGCTGCAATGATAAAGAAAGGTTGCAACCGCTTCAAAGGGAAGTGATTCTTCTGCTCGAGTCGGCACTGGTGAGGTCTTACCTGGATCACCATGTCCTGTTTTGAGCCTCGCGTTTCAAGGGCAGTTTGGAAAGAGTCCGGTGCCGAGCCACAAAAATAAGCAGCCTGGGAGATGAGACTTGAGAGGAAAGGCAGAAAGAGCTAGGGTTAATTAGCATGGAGAAGAGAAGATGGCAGGAGGGGGTTGATAGTGGTCTTCAAATACTTGAAAGGTGATTTATGGACAGGATGGAGATGGGATTTTCTCTGCAGCTGCAGGGGCAGGACTAGCAGCAACAGCCTCAAGCTGCAGCAGGGCAAGCTGAGATAGTCAGGATGTTCCTCCTCATCTCCAGTGAGGGTGGGCAAGCCTTGGAACAGGTGCCTAGAGGAGTTTTAAATCTCCAACCTGCTCTTGAAAGATTTCCAAGGATGGACAGACACTTGACCAGGATGGTTTAGTCGGGGATGCTCCTGCCTTGAGCAGAGGGCCGGATTAGATGACCTTGTGAGGTCCCTTCCAGTCCTACTTTCCTATGATCCTAAAGATTTATAACTCCCATTAGCATGGCTACTTTCCAGCGTAGATGAGATTATTATTATTTTTTTTTGGCTGAAGTTCTTTAATGCTGTTTCTTGAGATGCTTCACGGATGTTTGCTTGCTCCTCTGTTCAGGGCTGGATTAACACATAGGCAAACTAGGCATGTGCCTAGGGCTCTAAGTGAAGAAGGGACCCAGTTGAGCTTATTTTACGTATTATAATTATTGAGTGAAAAAAAGTAATATAAATATACAATATTAAGTAGGGGCCCACGAGTTTGTTTGCCTAGGGCTCACTAAAGGGTTAACCTGGCCCTGCCTCTGTGTGAGATGGGCCACTGAATGTCATCCGAAACTTTAGAAAATGCTGCAGAAAAGAACCTTTCATTAAAATAAAATAAAAATGGCAGCACCTTGTCATCTCTGATGACACCTGCTCCTAGACCTGATAGTGTATGTGCAACGCTGGAATATGAGACCAGCTCAAGTGGTGGTTGGAAGACCCCGCAGGCCTGATGAGGGGAAACCTGAATTGAGTTTAGGATGCTGATTTCTAAGATGAAATGATGATGTAAAAAATGCGGGGAACCATCTGCTCACTTCCGATTAGCCCTACACAGGTTCTGGGTGTGCATAGTGCATGCACACTTTAACTGCAGTCCTCAGTGGGTAGGGTCAGTGCATAGAAAACCTGGGTGCTCCTCTGCTGTGCACTGCAGTCACCTCCCCTTTAAAAAGCATTCACACCGCTCTCTGAGAGGTCTCTGCCTCTCCAGAACAGCTTTGTGAATAGGGCAAACTGTACTGGGAAGGGCAGGAAAAATGATCCAGCAGATTGCTTGGATCAGCCAGCCATCTAATGTGATGCTGAGCTACGCCCTCATCCTTCAGCTGTGTATTCTGGGGGGGGTGGAGATGGGGAAGACCTACACCAGGTAAAGATGTTTCCACTTGCATGTACTCTTCACCTGCTGCTCTGGGGCAGATTCTCTCCCTGCCCCCTACCTGGGCATTGCAAATTTTGGGAATCTGGGTCCTGGGGGACATGACTGGTGAGGAGAGGTGGAGGGAACTGGGCTTATTTAGTCTGCAGAAGAGAAGACCGAGTGGGGATTGAATAGCAGCTTTCAGCTCCCTGCAGGGGGGTTGCAAAGAGGATGGAGCTGGGCTGTTCTCAGTGGGGGCAGATGGCAGGACAAGGAGCAACGGGCTCAAGCTGCAGCAAGGGAAGTTGAGGTTGGATATTAGGAAAAACTTTTTCACAAGGAGCATAGTTAAAACACTGGAACAGGTTACCCAGAGAGGTGGTAGATTCTCCATCCTTGGAGGTTTTTAAGCTAGATAAAGCCTTGTCTGGGATGATGTAGTTGGGGCTGATCCTGCTTTGAGCAGGGGATTGGACCAGATGTGACCTCCCGAGGTCCCTTCAACCCTCATTTTCTTTGATTCTATGAAAAGCATGCAGTTGAGTTGTTAAAGTGAACAGGCTCCACTTCCTAACCTTGCTTTCGGAGAGAGGAAATGAGTGTAAGCAATGCTTACTCTGCTTTTCCAAGCACCGCTGCCCTTTGCATTTGCTGGGCACGCAGATGAGATGTGAAGCTCCCCCTCCCCCCGTTGCATTAAGTCTCACTTCTAGCACAGATGCATGCAAAGAAGGACTTCTCCCAGATGTGCAGAGCCTCTCGACACTGGTTGAAACCTTCCTTGTGTTGTACATGGTGCTTTTCTAGTTGAGCAGCCCTGGGGAAGCACAGGCCGCCGTCATATTTCCCAGCCCCTCGTGCGTGCCATCAGCGCTGCCACTCCTGGCTCCTTTACTATCCCTTAATGAAAAGACTCTGTGTTGGGGCCCCAGGGCAAAGCTGCTGCCTGCTTCTCTCTGCAATGGGTGTTGCAGTTGGCTGTTGGCTGCCCTGAACAATCCTGGGCAGATCCAAAGGGAAGTTAAGCGCTTAGGTGGGTGGTGGCTGTTTTGAAGGGTTTTTTTTTTTTTTAATTTTTTAAATTAAAAATTTTATTTATAGTGAGGGAGAAGCAGAAGCTTCCATGACAGGTAGAAAACGCTCTCTGATGTTTGCAGTTAAGCAGTCTGGCTGTGAAAGCCACTGAAAAATTAGCTGAGATTTGCAAAGCTGGGTGTGTGCGTGTGTGCGCGCCTGTTGGGTGGAGCAGGCGATTTCCCTGGTCGATTCTGCAGGGATTGTCCCGAGCTGATTTCCTGCAAAACCCTGTTGGGCAGGGGTCCTTTTCTGCTCGCTTGTTCTGCGCCGCCCAAAGATTTCCAAGCTGGCACGTTCAAATTCACCCAAGTGGTGGCTTGCACAGGGCCGGTGTTGGGATGGAAATGACAGGTGAGCGCATACCCAGTGGGAAGCGAGAATAAACTCATCTCATTTTTTGGGGTTTTATTTTTTTTTTTCCAATCTGCCTGTGGGTTGAAGAGCTCTTGAAAGATGCCCTGATGCTTTCTGCCCTGATGCTGCCCTGATGCTTTGTGCCACGGGGTCCCTGCCCGATGCTGTTCTCCCCTACCTTGTTCATGGAGGGTGCATGGCACATAATTAGGCCCACACTTGTCGGTTAAATGCGAGCCTTGGGATTTTTGCACGCTTGTCCTGTGCGTAGCCCTACCCTGTGGTCACTGCAGGCGACAGGGCAAGGAGTAACGGTCCCAAATTGCAGAAGGGGGACCTACGTGTGTGCACAAGCATGCGTGTACAGGTGCGCTCCGACACAGGCAGACACGCGACTTACATACGTGCACACGGAGTGCACGCATGCATGCGCATGTCTAGACATAGGCACACGCAGACACACGCGTATGCAGCAGACACGGAGTGAAGTGACAGGGCGCGCACCTACATGCACACGCCGATGCGCGTGCACACCAGCGTGCAACGCGCGTTCTCTCTCTCTCTCTCTCTGCCCGGTGC